ACCCCCCCCACCCCCCCCCCTTCCCAACAAAGAATGGGCACCTAGGGACTGCCTAGTGTTTCTTAAAACCTTGGTTATATTTTCCTAATTGTGCCTGTCATTCCGAAAGGCTTTTCGGGTTCCTACAAGTCTCCTTTTCGTTCAAGTAAAAAGCCAATGGTTGGAACAACAAGATGAAACATGTTGCAGGGGCAACTAAAGATAAAGTCATAAAACCAAGGTCAGAACAGGAAAGACCTGAAGCAAAAGGCCCATGTGGCCTGTCAAAGACCTATTTGGGTAAATTGACTGGGGACAAGTTTCTATTCATTGAGTCATGGCATTGCACATATTTATAAAAGTTTCTGTTTCATTCTTGAATGATAATGCTGAAGAAACTTCTGAAATAATTAACCAACAACCTATCAACATTTTTTTTTTAAATTACTTATCCAAAAGAATATTTGGGAAATTCTCAAATAGCGGGGAATGAATGAGACATTGTTTACTACTTCCAGGGATCAAGTCCCACCAGTAACCTAAACGAGGACAACAATGAAGCTGGTTATGTTGCAGGGTGAAATAGTAAAGCCACTGAGGCAAGTGCCTCATATAAATGAACTGGTAATGTCCTGGCTCATGGAATCTAAGAAGGGATTTGGTTGTTGACGCTTAAAAGAAGTATGCGAAGGTGTTTGATGAACTTTCCTCCAAGGAAATGACCTTAGTTATATTAGCTGAATGGGGTTATTAAACAACTGAGAGGAAGAGATCCAATTGTCATGAGTAGGACACACTAACACAGTTGAAATCCTAGTGGCTATTTATGGCTGTTTCATATGCATTTCTGAAAATCTAAAAATAATATTCCAACATATGGATCAAGTGTAGCACAGTAAGAATTGTCTCTTTCGGCTCTTCGGCAATGTAGCTCTGATCCCATTCTCTATTATTTAAAGGGTGTGGTTTGCATAAGGTTGCAACCTTAAACAATCCAATTAAGATGCACTTCTAAATTTTATTATAAATATAATTTTGATATAAAAATTCTTACGATGGCTTGAGAATCTATTTTTATCTTTAACTATAAAATTTTAAACTCTAAAAATGGTTCAAATCAAGTAGATCTATAAACACATAAAAATCTTGAAAATGGACGGTCCAGATAATGTATTGCAAGATATACTATTTCGCAGACTCGAAATTTTTTTTTTCTTTTCAATTCATACATCTCGATGTCGAGATGATCAATTAGAAGGTTTTCCAACATCAAAACAATCTGTTATGATGGATTTTTGAGGTGCACCTTTAATTCTACATTTTAAAGTTGGAACCTTATATAAACTTTTTCCTTATTTAAAACACCAAACTTAAACTAAAATGTCTGCTTTTACTGCCTGTATGAACACCCCAACTCTCATGTGGAGAGAGGGGAAAGAAAAGGAAATGACACAAAGAAAAGGAAAAATAACTCCTTATAAGACATGAATTTCTAAAATGAGAAGCACCCATATAAAATGCGATGTGCCCTATATTTTTATCGATACAATCTGTTTTAACTGTCCCCGCTAAAATTTTCCGCTGTGCAGGAGATAAGAGCAGAATGGCAATGTTATCTTTCTTGCTTTGAGCTAGCTTGTAATAAATGCTATCTCATGGATTCCTGCAGCTATGCAGCATTGATTGAAGCGAGGCTTTTTGTTACATCTGCCAAATCGGGGTCTGGAATCGATGAAGTTTTTCTTGATATAGCTACTAGTAAGTCATTCTCTTATTCTTAACATTTATAAAACCTCTGAACTGATGATTATCTGGATTAATGACGATCCATAAAATTGATGGTGTTTGAATTCATAGCTCTTCATGTTTCCTTTAATGCGGATGTGGATTGCATATCCCCCCCTCCCCTTCCCCCACCCGCTAAAAAAAAAAAAAACCCCAAAGCAGCGGTATGAGGTAAAATAGTAAAATAGCATTCTCATGGTGCACCATTTTCTATCTCTGCAGGGGGGCTGGAAGCAAGGAGGAGTAGTGCAGAGGGCTGTTCCCCAACTCCCCGAAGAAAAGGGTTGGTTATTATTGATGATCAACCTGATACAGAGCCCCAGTTGAGATGCTGTTCTTGATACCATAAAGCTTCAAACATTAACATGAAAACACAAAATGTATGATGCTCGGTTGACACTAATTGAACTCCAGGATGTAGAGTATGATTTTTTGGCCTTCTTATTTTTAATTTTGAAAATGTCTAAATTCTAGTAAAAGGAGAATGTTCTTTCTTTCAAACTAATGTTAAATATCCACATGAAACTTAATTTTTTCTTCTTCCATCACCCGGTGTCCTCCTTCCTGCTAGTGGTCTATATTCTTTGTGCTACAAATTCAGATATTTATTACAGACTCGTGTGCACGCGCTTGTAAGAGGGAGGTAACGAGGAACAGGGAGGGAAGGAGGGAGGGAGGGAGGGAGGGGGAGTGTTTCTAGCAATCTAGATGCTGAAAGTTTGGAGACTATCTATTAACAACATTTCTCACTCATTTTTTGTTTGAATAACAGCTATTGTTATTTTGCAGGTGGCAAATGTAATATACTGATACGTTGACGAAGTCTTCGGCGTTTATACATTCAAGCCTCATTTATTGATATAAAGAAACAGGAATGTTCCCTTTTCAGCTGATTGCTGCCTTGATAAAATTGTGGTCCATGTGTAATTTGATCTAGAATTTAATCCTGAAATGATTGTTTTAGAGCCTAGCTGGATCATGTGATTCTTGTTAGCCTTTGTATTTGTTTACTGTGTAAAAATAAATAAAATGGGGTTGGTGTCCCTCATGAGTGTTGAAGGATTTTGGATCTGAGTATGGGGGTGGTTACATGGATGGAGGAATCCGCTTATATCGTTCTCTTAACCATCAACAATCAATCTCTCTCTCTCTCACGCACACGCATACAAATGCACAGTCACAATTACACAAATAAACGCACGTCTTGTTGAATGCCTTTCTTTTCTAGAGCGCTACTCGATAGCATTATAGCATCTGACAAGCCAACGATAAATAAATCGGGGAAATTTCCATCTTAGAGATGAGCGTCAGATAGACAAGGGGCTACAATGTAAACGGTTATCTCACCGTCATTTTTTCAAGGAATAAGCATATTTTTTTACTAATTCACGAAGGATGCTTTAACCGACTATAGTATTAGTATGAAGCTCTATAAGATTACTTAGTATTTATTGTTAACGTATAGATGTGGATATATATCATAATGATATATATTAGTATGGATATGCATCCGTATATAGCAATATGGATATATATCCGTATCTATACGTTAACAAGTATATGCTACAAGTTTGCATAAATGAATAGGTGCCAATTTGAGTCCGCACCTTCAGACTCTTATCAGTTGTAGCACTATGGGAGGTGGAATTATCATTATTACTGGTAACCCAAGTGAATCTTTCATCAAGTCCATCATCTCCTAAACCCCAATAATGGATGTCTCGATATAAGTGGGAGGGTTTCATGCAGCGTTCGAAAAATCGAGCCGGCCTTGGAAATTGGCCAATGGCCCTTTCCAAGTAATCATTAAACTGGCCAGTTCAATCGGGCAGGTCTCAGCTTGTCCAATAAGTATTAAAAAAAATAAAAAATACAAAAGAAAGATTAAAAAATATGAAAAGTGTATTTAAAGTATGATTAAACAAAGTACATACAAATAAAGTTGAAAATTAGTGAAAAAAAATGTATTTTTAAAACTCAATTTGTGTCTAGGCGTATTTTTGAAATTTTTAAAAAGATAAAAAAATAAAAAATTATTCACGGCCAAAACACCTTAAAATATTTGATGATAGAAAAACATTCAAAAAACACATTACAAATAAATCCTTTAATTTTTAGGATTTTATATAAATAATTTTTATTTTATTTTTAAAATACCCGGCTTGATCACCAAAACCAACAAAAAACGAATCAATTAGTGCCCAATTCTGATTTGATCAGCCTGTTCCGAGTTGGATCGGCCGAGTTTGCAACATTGGTTTCATGTATACTTTTCCATCCCCAACAACCCCTTTGTGTTACTCTAGAGGTTCCCATGTGATGCCTCCAAAGATGATTTTTTGCTTATAAAACCTGACCACATGGAGTGTTTTCCACTGGCCAATTCCCATCCAACTTTAGTAAGGAATTGTTTACATTTGCAATACGTTTAATATCAAGTCCACCTTTGCTCTTGGGTTTACAAATGGTGCTCCATTTTACAAGGCGAGTATCTTTTGTTTTATTGGTTTCTTTAATGAAAGTTCCTACGTAGCTTCTCTAGGGTTTTGATGGTAGTTAGGGATAGTTTGAAAGTGGAACACAAAATGGTATGTGAGTAAGTCTTCTGTGTTGAGAAAGGTTTTTAGTTTCCAACCTTCTAGTTTGGATATGGTTTCTTAATCTGGCAAATATTAGAGGAGAGTATCCCTTGGAATAGTGGCAAATATGTGGGTAAAGGTAGTCAAACGTGGTGGGTCCCACAATGTGATGTTTAAAGCTCCAGCCTCGTTAGGTCACAAATTAATTTAGAACTTCCATTTCAATTCGTCAATGATCATAAAATCTAAATTGTTTTTGAGAGCTCCAAATTCATGAATCTAGTGATGAAAGTAAAAATTAATCTAGAATATATTATGAGTCCTTAATCCCTTGAAAATCTAGGCAAGTCTTCCAATCAACCCAACCGACTCATAGAATATCTAAAAAAGGGGCTGGGTCGTGGTGGTAGCATCTCGATGCCTAATTACCACATTGTGGTTTTCAATCCATTTGACACAACCTATTGACACATTAAAAAAAGTTAACTCCTTAATTTATATGAAAAAACAGGTAGTGGCCTGCCTTTCCCCTATTAAATTATCACAAAAAAAAAAATATAGATATACTTTATAAAGACTTAGATCCTTATTGAGGAGTCAAAATTAACTATTCTTAAATACATTCTTCCAAGGCCCTTGAGCTCAGGCATGATAGAAGCTCTTTTATCGTTAATTGAGGGATAATCATGGTAACCCCTAAGTAATCTTATTAAATTTGTCCATTCCTTATTGGGTAGGTTAAACGTCATGCCAGGCCAAAACCCTAACTAAATGTGACATTATTAATCCAAGTACCATTTACACATGTAGCTACATTAGTTAGAAATGACAAGGCTAATAAGTGGCCTCTGATTCCACATAAAGTTCATTGCATGCTTTGTGGTCTTCATGTTTTCCTTGTTTTCTTTCTATTATTTTATAAACTACCCTTTAAAGATGTACAGTTGATTGATGTTAATGGCATTAGTATTTCTTCCCATTTGCTTTGGGTGCTTTTCACGTTCTAGGTTGACTCATGCACATGTTTCACTCATTTCGTAGAGCTCTCTCTTTCATTAAAGATTTTATGTTCCTATGGTACCATATTGCCTATTTACTCCCTCATGTAAAACCCAGACTAATTTTAGAACCCTAAATTTTACAGATGCAACCTCTTCAACTCATTGTCTCATCTCAATAATAATAATAATAATAATAATAACTGAAATTGCACTCTCCATACACTTAAAAAAAAAAAAAAACTCATGATTGAATACATATTGTCCAAATGTTTTGAAGGCAAGTTCTCAGTACTAGAAAAATCAAAATTCATGTTTTGTCTTTTGAAAATAATCATCTGGCGATTTTAGGTGGTTACAAAAATATTTAGATATACACGTCTTCTAATAGAGGGAGTAGGTCTACAATAATATACTCGAACATAGTATATATGCTTCTCACCCTCTCTCTCATGCTTAACTCATTTGATAGCTCTCTCTCTCTCTCAACAGTCCTACCTATTATCTTTTCATGCTTTTTGGGTCGAATCTATTCCTTTGGTTTCCCCTCCCCCACTTGAACACATATGGGGAGCAGGCAGGTACGACCCATCCATATGCTAGATCGACTGATGAATGGATGGTCTAGATGCCTATGTTCAAGTAGCCATTTCACCATAAACCAAATCTCTCATCTAGACATCAAGAAAAATATGGTTTGGTTTGCATAAAGTCACCACTTTAAACAATTAAAGTGCGCATCCAAACTTTGTTATGAGATATAATTTTGGTGTCGAAAACTTTTAGGATGCAGCGAGAGATTTTTTTCTCTAATTATAAAAATTTTAAACTCCAAAAAATGGTTCAAAATAAAGTAGATCTATAAATACATGAAAACCTTGAAAATAGACAGTTCAAATAATATATTGAATATCTTTTTTTCTTTTTCCCCATATCTATAAATCTCGATGTCAAGACGATCAATAAAATGTTTTTCCAATACCAAAACAACCTTTTTTGAAAGATTGTAAACGTGTGCCCTTAATTCTATATTTTAATGTGTCAATCTTTGAACCGTCATATCAGCCCATATTCAATCTGAGTTATTGATTGACACTATAGTAGTTAACCTGTGAGCTGATAAGATCATTTCCCATATATATGAGTTGTTGATTGACACTATAGTAGTTAACCTGTAAGCTGATAGGATCATTTCATATATATATATAT